TAGTAGTAGTAGTAGTAGTAGTAGTAGTAGTAGTAGTAGTAGTAGTAATAGTAGTAGTAGTAGTAGTAGTAGTTGTAATAGTAGTAGTATTAGTAGTAGTAGTAGTTGAAATAGTGTGGTAGTTGTAGTAGTAGTAGTAGTAATAGTAGGTAGTAGTAATAGTAGCGAGATTTAGCACGTAGTAGTAATGATCTCTCGCTTAAATATCTCAAATGCACGCCGCACCCGCGTCCTCGCTTACAGGTTACGATAATTACAAGTACACGCTTGCAAACGTATTCGTATTTTATATATTATGAATAACGTATATATATAATGTCCGTTATCACAGTCCGTTGAATATCGATACTGGTAATAATTACATAAATATTAATACCATGGTAACTGCGATATCAGTGATATCATATCACCAAAAACTAGAATTGATCACCACAAATTCAAATTTTAAGTGCCTTTGCAGAAACCATCTGACCGTACAACACGGTGGTTTTTAGAATTCATCGAGAAATTATACAAAATATTTAGTTCAACCCAATGCATAATATAAGTATTACTCATCTATTGCTGCCCAGTAAATACTATATATTATTATTTAAGTTCTTGATCATCCTTTTACGTTTTTTCAGATTAATCTTTATATTATAAGTTACGATTTTAACAAAAATACTGTTCAAAATATGATACAGAAATACTTAATACCAAGTACAAGCAGAGGCGTACATTTGGAAGGGGGCGGGTTCCCGGGTTCATACCCCCATAGGCAGTGGGGTATTTACGGGGGGGTCCAGGGGTACTGGACCAACCCCCTAGAACCTCTCCATAAAATAAAAAATTAATAAAAATTCTTATATATTTGCAGGATTGGCTATGTTAAACATTCACAAGGAAGTTGAAATTACTGTTGATGAAGTGATAGAGGAGTTTGGCCAAAAAATCGGGACTTTATAACTGGAATTTATTTTATAACAATACTTTATAATATATAAGTATATATATATAATATTACATAAGACTATACGATTATTACATTATATATTTAGTCCAACTTTCTCCAAAAACTGCATAAGAACGTAAATATTACAATATAATTATAGCTTATATTAATTATGTATAAACTGTGGACCCCCCTCCCAAAAAAAAAAAAAAAAAATTTAAAATACGCCACTGCCCACAGGACCAAAAAAAAAAAAAAAAGAAAATTGTTTTATTATTGATGACGTGTTATATATTTGTAGTTTCATTATTACGCTTTGAACTTAAAATATACAACTATACAAATATTATGATAATTAAATAATTATATTGATAGATGTTATATGATATACTCCAAAAGCTATTAATTTACTTTAATGTAAAAGTAAACTGTAAATTGGTAAAAAAGTTGTATAAAGTAATATCTATTTATAGCAGTTATTTATCTTATTTATCTGTGTAACGAAAAAAAAAAATAACGATTATTTTTGTTAACCCCCCCTAGAGCAAGATTGAATGTACGCCACTGAGTACAAGTAGTATTTTTTAAATGATGCTTGATTTTATATTAAGCACCAAAACAAGTGTTCGTATCTGTGTTTGATAAAATTAGACATTAAAAACGTTGCCTCAGATACACCTCGTAAAAGTTTTTTTCCTGTACCCTAGTCCTTACTCTTGCACACAAGATGTTATAAATGCAAATGACAACGCCAAGGACGTAACTAGTTTTTGGGGCTGAAACCATATGAATCAGAAAACTACAATTAGTTACTATTTATTTAACTTTGAATTATTTTAAACTGGTCATCTATTTTATCTATTTGTTTGTCTATTTTATAATTATATTTGCGGATTTAGTTTACATGTATACTTTGTCATTTATATATATATACACGTTTTATGTTTAAAGATAATAGCTACATAATGGTGTGCCTGATATAAGAAAAAAAATATTAAGCACCCGTCGACATAATATTCATTCAAAACTAATGAGTATTTATTTGTTACTATGATGGGCGTAGTATACATGCGGCTGTGGGGGCTATAGCCCCCAAGACATTTCTGTAGCCCCCTCATTTTAACTAAATGCAATAAATTTTAGTTTTAAATGTTTTTATAATTTTTCCTAAAATTCATCAAGCTTTAAATATTAGCAGTCTATTGTGTGTATTGACGATTATTGCACTAACACACATACATAAAACTACTTATTTTTATCACAAACATGTTTATTTATAGATCAACATCGTGTTAATTTTTTGGATTTACCCTGTGCGATCGTCGGGCCATTTTCTAACCAATGTCGCGTCGTCCGATAATAATATTATAAACGGATAATAATTATTTATTTATCGGTATTTTTCTCGAAATTGGTGACTGATCTGTCTTTGTTGTTTGCTCGTGTACTGCTAATCACACACGTCTGTCTTATATTTTACTTTAAAGCATATTATTTCATACATTTTTAATTCATTTTGATATTTTTGTTTCTTTTTTTCTCGTTTTTCTTATTTTTTTTTAAAAAAAAATGTTCAGTATATTTAATAGCCTGACAAAAAAACATTACCACCAACTAGGGACAACGAAGACTTTGCAGTGGATGATCCAAGTCCAATAAATAATAAAATTAAAATTAATAATTCGTCAGTACCTGATGATCTTAACAATATTCATCCCGAGTATTCTGAAATTGCATTAAATGACTCGTTTCTGCTAGACTTAGAGAACTTGGAAACAGGACCAATTTAAATTAAATTAAACGTAAGTACTAGAGGTAGGTAAAAAACAGATGTTTATCAAGGTTTATGTTCAATACATCGATGTTTCACCATCGATGGTTAGATATATCGAAGAAAACATCGATGTTTTATCGATGTTTTGAATTTTTTTATATTAGTTTCTCCTTAATATTATTTGTATCACAATTTAGCCTCGCACCAAAAGTTGTCAATTGTCACAAATGTTTGTATGATTATTCTGTGCATTTTTTAAACGTGTTAACTAGGTGACATAAATGTCGCCCAGTGATAATGTTTTGTCGCTTAGTTGATAGTGATTGAAAAATTGGGCAAAACACAGTTAACTGTTGAAAGAAGATATTTTATTAATTATTTAAAAAAAAAAAAAATAAGTTTAAGTTTAATTAAATAACTCAAAAATAATTGTTTTTTTTTTATGTATTGTTTAATAACATTTTAGGTAAAGCTTGAGACACCAATAAATTGTTTTTTCTAGGAAATGTTCTCTTCGCTTTAATTCAAACTAAAGATAAGGAGTTTTTGGAATACATTTTTCTAGTCCTATAATATAGCCCATGGTTATTATAATGTGTATGATTTAAGCTTGAGTCAGTAATATATGTTATTTAAATATACATTAATTTATGAATCTAAATAAAGTGCATATAGTTTTGTATAAAAAAATAATGAACGGTTTTTCAAAATATATTACTGTGAATAACGATTAGATATCATCATGTTAAATAATCTTTTTAATATTTAATTTAAAAATATATACTTCTCCTTTTTAGCCATTATCTTATTCTTAAATTCTGCCTCAAAGATCTTTTCTTTTCCGTATGTGCACGTTCTTTTTTCTTTTCTCCAACAGAAATATTATCAAGTGTACCCCAGGACACAGTAATTGCTCCCCTTCTTTTCAATCTTTACATCTCAGACTAGCCAACCTCTATCTATACACCAGTTGGTGACTCTGCCGACAACAAATCCATACTAACAATTAGTCCAAATCTTGCCTTGATCTCTTCATACATACAAGACTATCTAAATACTCTTGAAACTTGATGCAAAACTTGGGGAGTTAAAATGAATGAAACTAAATTTATAATTTTACCTTCACCCATCACCACGGAATATGCCCAACCCTTATCCTCAATAACCAACCATTTCCCTCTGCTCATTGTGTACGATACCTTGGTATTCTTATAGATCATCAACTCACCTGGTAATCACACTTAATTAGCAAAACTCAAACATTATATGATAGTTTTCGACTCCTTTGACTACATCTAACCTCTAACCACATGAAACTCTCGCAAATTCCTACATCACAAGTTCCTTCTAAGACCCATATGGGCATATGAAATTCAACACTTGTTTAATAATGTTGGCTTATTATTCAAACATAAATGAATATATAATAAACACACGCAAATACATTTTCAAATAATGTAAAATGACTATTATGGTAATTATAATGACATTTAATAAAAGGTAACGTCTTAAATGTACTCTTAATATAATATTTCAGTACCATTTTAATCATTTTAACAAAGGTTTTCTATCAAATTCATTATAAATATGATATTATAGTATGAATATATTATAATTTTATATTTGATTCTCTAATATTAAAAGGATATTAAATTACTTTTATACATCATTATGTATACAACATTATGTATTACAACTAGTCCCATCTTAAAAGCCATGATCACAAAATTATTTTATTCACCAGAAAATTTCTTTCAATTTAGTATTTAGTTTGATTTGTTCAAATATGATTTTATCACTTAAATTTGAAAAGATATTTTTGAAATTTCCTTCATCAATAATTTAAAAATATATTAAAAATCGCGGTCGTATGAGAACTTATATGTACTTGTATAAATCAAAAGATAAATCTACCTCTTGGACATAATCATTTATGTTCATGGATGTTCTACTTTAAAGGATAATAAATTAATTTATTCTGAATTTAATTAGAACAATTAACATAAAATTTATAAAATCATATTAACTGTTTTACATAAGTATATCTACAGTAAATATAAAATATGTATAGAGTTCTTAAGTTGTAATTCGTAGTTTATTATTATACCTATATAATAATAATTGTTATAAGAGACAAATCATACTATTAAAATATGAAATCGTTTGGTAGAAAATTGAATTGCTGAATCTTAACAGAGGGCACATTTGTAACCATTATTTTATTCTAATCGATAAATGAAAACATTTTATTGCAAATCGTTTTATTATTACATCAAACAGAACGATATTAAACGTCTTTTTCAAATTTTTAAAATACTTTTCTAAGAATTTAAATATATTGTTATCAATTAACATGTAATTATTCAACTGTCCAACAAAAAGTGTAGTCGTGAATAAGAAATGAAGTGGATGAATTGGATATAGTACGCTTAACGATTTCAGAGTGGTAAGAATTGTCTCTACCATCAATCAACGCTTATGCCGGCAGTCCTCTACTGAAATGACAAAAGAAATGTCGTCATCATCTTGGATCATTTATGCGACTTGAATGAACATGAAGTTAACAAATTGACTGAAGGATAATAATAAAAACCGAACTAAATTTATTCACGTATGTTATAAATTATTTGTAGTTATTATATTATAAAAGATAAATTTAAGAATTCAAATTACAAAATTAGCAAGTAGTGTATTATAAATTAAGTTTAAATATTCTTTAAAACCAATCCTTATAATTAGAGCTCAAGTTTTAATACAAAATGTATGTTTTTCTGGATGATCTTAGACAATGCTTTTCAAAAATATAATTTGTTTTGTGTAACAAAGACTTCAAAGGTGAAACTTTTGTTTTGCATAAAACAGTTTAGCATATTTCAATAAATGATATTTATTGAATTTTCGATAATTTTATTTGTTTCAATATATATTTGTACAATATACAACTATAATATATAATATTTTTACATATAACAGTTTTAAAATGTAAAGAAAATTGTTTTCAAGTATAGGCTTTTTATGTATAAATTGATTGATCTTATTATTCCTTTATCACCATGTAGAGGAAGACATTAAGACACGTTGGGGAACTTGGATGGAAGCTATAATATGTGTATATTTTCAATTTATTAAAATATTAATCGTTGGATTTGAAGAAAACGATGACATAGCTATCAAAAAAGTGCGAAATCGAATGGCAGAAGAAATGTAATCAAATTTGATATTTATAAAAGCCAACTATATAAATATAGTAAGCAGAATAACATAGTTTAAAGCATCAGGTGTATATATATTCAACTATAGTTGGACGGTTGGTATCGTAAGTAATGTTAAAACCTGTATTTCAGATAATAAAAATAGTTATGGAAAGGAATAAATAAAAAAATTAGAAGAAAATCATGGTTATACTATAGAAAAAACAATTTCAAATATTTTAAAAGGTTATATAACTAACCTGACAAACACATCAGGAGAATTTTTACCAGATGATATTCGCCACTTCAAATAAACTTCTATAACGTCCGTGGATGCATAAAAATATTATTTCAGACAATAGAAAACCATTGGTGTTTGACAATATTAAAATATATATATATATATATATAATATATTATATATATATATTATATATATATATATATATATTCATTGCAATGTTTAGCATTTTTAAAAGTAAAATAGCTTAACGTAGAATTCGTACAATATAATGAATAAATACACGTATTTTGATATGTTCAGAATTAATAATACAGAGTTTAGCAATCATTCAAATACAACTCCTTAGTTAGTATCATCGTTAGCCAATCACAAGTCAAAAGTTTAAATTTTAAGTTTTTTTTTTTATAAAATAAAAGTTAAAAATAACCTCATAATTAATTGATTTAAAAAATTTATTTTTCATGTTTTAAGGACATTCTTGTAATAAAATGCAATTTTTAAGAGATTTTGGGCTGTTGTATTAGGCTGTTTGTATGCAGTGTTGGGAATAGATAATGCAAAATTTATCTAGATAAAGATAAAAGATAATTTCATTTTTATCTAGATAAAAAAAAAAGATATTTTCAAAAACTGTTATTTTTTGGTCAATATTTCATATTCTAATAATATCAGTGAAGACTCAATTATAATCAGGGACGTATTTAGGAATGTCTTATGAGGGGGGGGGGCACAAAAAAAAAGTTCAAAGTATACATAGTTATAACTTTTCCATCTCAAAATACTGTCGTTATTCATAACCAAATAATCAAAATACAAGTGTTTGATAGAAACATAAACTTTTATTACACAAATTTATAATAAAACATATTTTTAAATATAATTTTTGTAATTAAAATAACTGAAGACGTCTGGGGTGTTTATTAGCATATGCATCAACTACTTCTTCAGGTTTTATAATTATTTCAGGGTGTATATTAAGGTATATTTAGAGTGTATACAATGCTAATCCGTATATCCGATTTATTGATATTCCAGTATTTCACCGTGTGCTCGTGTGTGAAAAATAAGAGGACCTACAATAATTAATGAAGTATAAAATACGGCGATTGGGGGGGGGGAGGGTGAGGCACGGGCTCCATAGTCCCACCCCTTAAATAGGTCCCTGATTATAATCATTATTATCAATAGGTACCTAGGTGTTAAATGTTTATTGTAGTAATGTTGTGTACCATTAAGCAGTATTAATATTGTACAATGTTTAATGACAGATAATCACTAAAATGTTTACATAAAAAAAAAATGAAAATTGCTTTGTACGTATCAGGATGAATAAAGAATACATAAAAAAATATTTTAAGTTAACAATATTGTTTTCCGTATAATATTAATTTGATAATTTTCATTATTTTATAAGTAGTTACGACTTTACGGGTTCCAAAGGTGAATTAAAAACTATTTAGCGTATGAGTTACGTGTGTATACTAAAATCAAATACCTACTATATTTGGAACTTGCATGGAAAAATAAGAAATTAAGTTTATAAATACCAAAAATATTTTTCTGACATGAAAATACAAATAAAAGACGACTGGACGGATTTCGATGATCTCTGATTTGTTGGATTCATCTTCGTACAAGAATAAAAATAACTATCTTGGCAAGAATACAGACAATTATCTAGATATGTAAAAATGTTATCTTAGATAAGTAATTAGATAACTTAGCGTTATTTATCTAGATAAGATAAAAGATAACAAAAAATCTATCTAGATAAGTCCCAACACTATTTGTATGTAATGTAGTGCTTTTAAATCTAGGCCTTACTTATAATATATAATATATTATACAATATACTTTAATTTTATACTTAATATGCATTAATATATGTAAAATGGAGATAATTTTAACAATTATATTAAATATTATGCCTTGGAATCTGATCTAATCCTTAAAATTAATAGGTACGTATTATCTTTTTTGTCAATTAAAAAAATAAATATATAAAATATCATAATTGAGTTACATGCATTTCTAAATAATGTTAACATTTTTCATTTTAAAATATTCATACATGTTATGTAAACGCCTAAAGTAATTCTATAAAATACTAATTCATTGAATGGTGTTAACTTTTCATGGTAACAGTGTTCTTTCAGATTAATACAACAGTAAAATATAACATGCAGTACTTATTGTACATGGCTTATGACAATATGACAGAGCATATTTTCAGTCGTTGAAGTCCAGTGAGTTAATATTATGCGTGTATTTACGTATTTCTGTTTATATATTTATTTTATTTTTGTATTATTTCAGAATGTTATACAGCTTTATTTATTTGGCAAACGACTTTCTCAAAACGTCACCTAGACCAAAAATTTCACGGTATGTTTGTTTCTCTTCCCGTCCACCTCTTGGTCGTATAATATCCTTTCGACCACAAGTTTGGTAAGTTGTGTATAAATCACGGGAACGGTGCGTGCGCGAAACCTTTTTGTACGCTTTTGCCCGCATCGCACGCGCGTGTAGTTGTAAATTCATACACGCAGATATAAATTCTTAGGACGTAACGAAACGTATTTTATTTGAGCTTATTGGACCGTGTTGTTAAAGTGAGTAAAGAAAGAGAAAGAGATGAATGAATAAGCGAAGTGAGTGTAAGACAGAGTAAAAGAAAAAGAGTAAAACAGAGAGAAGATGAAGAAAGCCAGGGTTTTCGTGTTATTTTTTTTACGATTTTTCAGTGTATATTACAAAATAATGTTTCAGAATATTCCAAATTTACATATGTCATAATATATTGTATTTTATTCAACAATAAAAAAGCTTTAAAATCACTAATACAATGAAAAAATTACAATCAATAATCTAACAATAAATTTTACAAACTGCTATAGTTTTATTTTGTATTTTATTCAAAAAAACCATTTAAAAATTTATGTATTTGAACTCTTTCTTAAAATAACATGAACGATAAATTTAATCACTTATAAATAAAAAAAAAAAAATTTAAAAAATTAAAATTACTTTAAATTATTATTTCTAAAATAAAAAAACTTCGGTTTGGAAAAAATATATTATGGCTTCGATAAGAATAATTTCGGAAAATGTGTAAATAAAAGTAAAAGATTAAAAGAGTCATAATTTTAAAATTTTAAATCTATGTACTTACATATATGTATTATCATTATGGCGTATGTTTTCTCATTAAATATGCAATGAAAATCCCAATAAAACAAATTTTTACAATTATCTAACAAAATTATTAAGTAAAGTGAATTAGTATGAGTATTGATATTTATTATTTTTAAATGATAAATAACACTATATTGCGAATTTTTTTTCATTATTTTTCTCGTAACTTAATCATACAAAAATTTGAATTCATTTTATTTACTCAATAAACAACATAAAATAATATCATATTATTATAACTTATTTTTTTATTATTTTTAATGTTCTTGCGTCAATTTTAATAAGAGCATTTTCTTAGCATACATAATTTTTTAAATTAAATAAATTAACTTTTTGAATTCTATTAATATTCTTGATTTTTCCAGTCAGCCATAAGTTGATGTAAACTATCATTTTTTTGCATAAATTAAAGCCTAAAAATAACATTTGGTCTACGCCAGGTGCATTTAGGAATCTTTATATTATATAATCCCCTTATACCATCATCTTACCATCTTCTACAGTACTTTATTATAAAATATTGTTTCCTCTTTATCCTTCCTTATATTTTCTTGGCTTCAATATATCGGAAATTCCTTCATTATTATTATAATCATTATTTTTTATATGTATAAAAAAAATTGGAACTTTCAGTTTCATGTCGCCTGAAGGTGTGGTATTTTTGGAACCGGTCCAAGAGTCTCCTAACATATTGACCAAGTTTACTTGGCTCTAAAGTGAATTGACTACGGTACCTTCACCGTGAAATTTCTCTACACTAAAGGGGTTCAAATTTAATACCCGAGTAGTTCATAATGAATAATGGAGATACTATTTTTCCAATTACCTTATACTTGTAACTTATACTTATAACTTAATGAACTAAAAATTAAACATTTTGTTGCTTGTAAATAATTTATAATGACTTATTTCTATCTAATATTATTATTTCATATAGATTCCGAAAAAACGTTACTTAATTTATTAAAATAAATAATAAAAACTAATATTTTAACTTCAATAATTATTTAAAATTTATATTTTGAGAAAAATAACTAGGATAAAAATATTGTATTCAGAAAAGTGATGATCAAATATATTGTCTGAAAATATTTTAAGCAACCTAAATGAAATATTTGAAAATAAAAACAAAAATAATAAGTTTTTCTTGTATAATTCGTTTGTAAGTTGGTACAAAGATTTCGACTGTAGGTAATTAAACGCTTTTTTTAAAAAATAAACAACAATGTTGATGAAAAAACACGGCAAGAGGTGGACTTTTCATGTTTTTGTATTCCTTTAATTCACACTATTCAACAATAGATTTGTATTTTCTTCCTCATTATTTCTAAAGATTTTCATATAAAGGTCTACAGCAGTCAGGATTTTCGTATATTTTTATCCCAATGTAATTCAATTAAGAGTGTGTCTCCGGAAAACTTAGGGAAATGGGAAGTTTTATTCAAAAAACCACATTCAAATGAAGTTTCCTAAAACTAAAAAATAAAAAGCTGGCACACTCTCAATTCAATCAGACTTGGCAGACCGACAGTATTTTTTAATTCTAAAAGTACGTCTTTCATTTTTATTATACTGAATATAGATAATGAAAAAAACGTTTTTAAGTAATTATTTGTAAAGTTCACTCCTTTTTATAAATTACTAGATAAATTATGACATGTATAATTATATTTTATAACAATATGTAAAAAAGTATAGTTCATTTTTATAATATTATATTTATAAACTATTACAGTTA